CTTTTGTTTGTTCTTACAGTTTAATGTTCTAGCGAACTTGAGAACTCTGTCGCCTGTTCGAGGTGCGGATGTTCTAGTCGCCAAACCTTCCAGGTCGATTGTTCCAGAAGCCAACGCGTGTACATTAGGCGCTCCGCGTGGAAATCTGCAGTTAATCTCGCCCCAACGCTCGAACCTGCTGTTACGCCGACTTTGACTCGACGCACACGACGCTTTGTTCTCATCTTCTGTTTTTCCTTTTTGTTTTGGGCAGAAGTTCGCCTTATTAAACGTTTAGTTTCTTCAGTTATTCTTCGCCTCATCATTTGTCATTCGTGACATTCTGGTGGAGGTGCTGGGTATGAGACCCGTGCAGCGTACCCCTACAAGAAACCGTTCGGCAAGCCCCCTTTCCCGACGACCCTCCGTTGAAGAGTCAGAGCATTGTGCCAGCCGCCGTCTTCAAGGGCAAGCTCCTAAACTCGGACCACTCCCCGCGAGGACAAGGCAAGCGATAACGACAATGGCTTCATCGACGGCGCAGACCACAGCAGCACCCCCCGTCGTTTGCCTGCCCGTCGCCCCTCGTATGCCGACGTCTTTCCACGGCGAGATCTACGAAGACGTCAAAGATTGGTTGCAGCAATACGAACGGGTGGCGCTGCACAACCAATGGACTCCGGAACAGCGTATGCAAAACGTCTATTTTTCCCTCGAGGGCACGGCGCGACACTGATTCGAGAATCGTGAAACCTCGATTACATCATGGGACCAGCTGAAAGGAGAGATCTGAGGGACGTTCGCCAGTCAGCACCGAAGGGAGAGAGCCAAGGACCTCCTTCGGATGTGGACACAAGGCCTTAACGAAAGCGTCACCAGCTTCGTTCAAGACGTCCAGCCTCTGAGCGCGCGTGCCGAACCTCAAGCCGCCGACGACAAGAAGCTGCGCGTCCTCATGCACGGTGTGAGGGACGACATTTTTGGGGGCCTCGTCCGCAACCCTCCGACCACCGTCGAAGCGTTTGTCACGGAGGCAACGAACATGAAGTGAGTCGTCCAAGCACGCGCCTCCTGCTACGAAAGACATCCCGCCGTCGTTGCCTCCACGCTGCTTAACGACGAAATCGGCGCCCGTACCCGGGACATCCGTGAGGTTATCTGCGACGTCGTCCGGGAGGAGCTCCAGAAGTTGCTACCTGCGGCCAGTCCTCCGACATCCCTCTCCATCGCTAAGGCTCTTTGTGAAGAAATTCACCGGACACTCCGGCCAAAGGTTCCCGGCACCATGGTGGCGTAAGAGGAGCCGACACTGATCTACGCCGCCGTAGCTCGCCGACCGCTGCCTGTTGCCCATAAATACCAGGCGTCATCTCGACGGGACAATTCAACGCCGCAAAACAATCGACGCCAAGAACAAGTCCAGGACGTCCGCCCGGAGCGACCCTCGCCGAGGAAGACCGACGTTTGGCGAACGGCCGACCGACGCCCGCTCTGCTACTATTGCGGGGAAGCCGACCACATCTACCGCGGCGGCCCCTACCGTCGTCTTGGGTGCGTGGTTTCCACCCGAACGACCTACGCCCGAGGTACGGCGAACCCCCTCGGGAGATCAACGAGTACCTGCGACGACCTCAGTTCCCTCGAGCCTGCGTCCCGCCGAGAGTTCCGATCGCCTTCGCCACGACGTCGAGCTTCGCCGATGCACCGACCCCGACGTGAAAGCCTGTCGCCCCTCGCTCCTCGCCGGGGAAACTAGGCGCGGCAACCCCTGGAGGTGGAGTTACCGAAGACGACCGACGTAAAGAGCCTCCAAGAACGACGGGGCGCTTCCACTCTCCCGACGCTACGCATCACAACGACGCTCCTGCTTCGGTGTCCAACAACCTAAACGTTGTTATCGACGGCCTCGACCCATCGGCACTCGTGGACACCGGAGCAGACTACTCAGGCTTGAGTGAAAGGCTCTCTCGCCGCCTTCGAAAAGTGACGAAGCCGTGGGAGGGGCCGCAGATACGAACCGCTGGGGGACACCTCATTACGCCTGTCGGAAGGTTGACTGCTCGAGTTGAAATATACGGTGAGACGTACCCTGTCAAGTTCCTCGTTCTGCAAGACTGTTCGAGGGACGTTATCCTCGGAATGGACTTCCTCTTGTGCGGTCTTTGCCGAGTGGAGCTGTTGTAGTTCGTCGCTTTGTAGACGACATTTTGATTTGTTCTTTTGAGGAAGGGTTAGCAGGGACGGTTCAGAAGTGTATAATAGAAAAGTGCCACGATTTGACATTCACGGAGGGAAGCACTCTTCAGGGCAAGATTCAGTATCTAGACCTCCTGCTACACACACAAAAGGGCTTGTGTTGGAGGTTTGGTAAGGAATCGGCAAAACCCTTGTTGGCTGCTGACAGCTGTCACTCGAAGTTAGTCAAGAGGGGTGTAATCGCATCAGTGGTAGATAACGCGTGTAAAAAGTCATGTGTACATCACGTTGGAGAGGCAATAGGGTTGCAAAAGTTGCGTCTTTTGGAAGCGGGCCATCACCAGGATGTGATTTCTAGCGTTATGCTCAAGGTGTTAAGAAAGTTCAGTTCGGCTCCGGTAGAAAAACCGGTTGTGAAAAATGTGGTCTGTGTGCCTTACTATCATGGAATATCTCACATTTTGAAGTCAGTGGCCAAGAGGTTCGGAGTAAATTTAGTTTTCAAGGCACAACACAAATTGGAAAGCTTCACCCCCTTTTCGGGTGGTCGTCAGGGTTGCCTAAAGAAACACCAAAACCCTGATTTAACTTGTCAAGTAGGAGTTGTATACGACATTCCGTTGCGGTGTGGATTGTCTTATGTAGGTCAAACTGGTCGCTGTTTGAATGATAGGTTGCTGGAACATAAAAGGGCGGTAAAAGACAATGCGCAGCATTCAGAAATAGCTAAACATGTTGTAGACTGCAATCACTGTCAGCCTGAGTGGGGGGATACCCGGGTATTGCATAAAGAGAAAGAAAATGGTAGGAGAGTTGTGAGGGAGACTTCATGTATTTTGGAGCGTGGCAATTGTGTCAGCACACCGTCCTTGGGTTTCGGAAGTGAACTAAACGCTCTCTATGTCTCTAAAAAAATTTTTTTTTTGAGGGGTGTTTGAATGTTAGCGCCGTCTCTGTTGGATAGGCCTGTTATCAGCTGTGGCTTGTCGTTTCCGAAAAATCTATCTTTCTTTTTTTCTTTGGGGGGGGGGGAGGGGGGGGAGTTTTCATTGTTAGCAGGGTTGTTGTTTGAGCGCCCGTTTCATGGATTGGAAAGGAGGTCGTCTGGGTCAGTTTTTGGTTGGTATGAAAGGAAGGGAGGTAGCATGTGTCATTGGTTCAGTTTGAGATGCCGTTGATGGAGTGGAGAGGAGGTGTGTCGACATTTGGAGAGGAGGGTTGTGGTGTATATATAAGAGCGGAGGTGTTCAAATAAACTAGAAGCTGTGTTTGAGACTTGTTGTTGTTTTGTCCGTTTTTTTATTTTTCCGTGTCTCCGGTTTACGATGGAAGTCCTTCACCAGCTCGCCTGTGCTTTTACCCTTTCTTCTGTGCAGTTTGACTGATCCAACAGGTGCTCCAAAATCGCTCAAATGAATTATATCACTCAGTACCTTTCTGTTGCAAACATTACGCGTTTAAAAAAAAAAAAAAGAATATTACTTGCTGAAAAGTTGTCTCCCGTTATGTGAAAAGATTTTTTTTTTTTTTTTATTGAAAGCGGTATATTACGAGGTTTAGGGTTTCTTGCAAGGTCGCTGATAACTCGCCGATGAGGTTCGGTGGGACGTGGTGCGGTATTACGACAACAAAGAAAAGACAAATTAGGCTTTTTTTTTTGTTTTAAAAAGCCAGGGAGAAATTGTCATTATTTGTTTAATTATTATTTAGCATCAGGGCTCTTAGTGACGTACTAAATTACTTTCGCGTGAACGGAATGATTATTAAAAGACGACAAAAATTGTAAACTAAAAAAACTAATATAAAGAAGGGAACCCTAAAATGGTGATAACTCTTAGAAAATCCATTGAATTGCTCTTCTAATACTAACTTGAATCACCGTAGAGTATATGGCCGCTACGTAGCAACGCCGAACGCAATGGAAAGTTTCAAGATATCTTATACCGTCCTGGCGAAAGCATGCACCGCTGGCGTAATGCACGGGCTCTAGAATCATCGACAGTTTCTCCAGCTGCAGGTATGGTGAAACTGCGTTGCAAGATAGCGCACCCATCATCATTGCAGGCGTTGCCAAATGATCAAAAAGAAGCTCTGCATCATCAGCAACTTTCTTTCGACCATTCAAGCCGCATTCTTCTAAGTATAAACAGCTGGCGAAGAAAGGAGTGCGAGGCAGTAGAGAACTGCGGAGGCACCGCGTTTACACCGTTTCGGCACCACTACTGAAGTTCGGGACCTAACCTGCGAAGCATCTCTTCTTGTAGTGCGGCACTCGGGGTAGTACAAAAGCTATTTGCCTTTTCTTTTATGTCTCATCGTTACTCTATACTATTTTCAAAATCTTGATTGCATTTGACAGACTCGCTTAAGTACTGTTCACCTTCTTACGTTTTAACTTTCACGCACATTTCGTGAATATTCGAATGTTATACTGTGTCTGTAGAGGTAAATAATAGTAAAAACGTAAATAGTACGAGATATTGAGATTCCGTCTTGTGATTTAGAAGGCTTGCGTTTGTTAATAGTGGCTCTGTTTACGACGACCTAAGAAAATTTTAAATGCTACATGTCTCTAATTTTTATATCTGTTTGTTGACTCTAACGGTTTTAGTATAATAGCTAATAAGATCAAAGTTAATGCATAATTCGTATATCCCGATAAAGCTCCATCTCGTAAAAAAATTATTCCCCGAAGCTTTTCGGACGTATCGTTTCGAGTCATTCTTACCATATTCCTCTACTTTAGTGCTTTGCTTTACCGCCTATAACTTACTGCACGTTTCGCAGGATGCTCGGCTTTAAGTGTTTTCTTTATTGGGTACTTCAGGTTCTAGGAGAGACCGTCAGGAACCAGGGCTAGCATCATGGCAATCGACCTCTACGTTTCGACGAGCAGCCCTGTGTGTGCCTACGTCCTTATCTTGGCCAAGCGGCTCGGTCTCGAACTTAATGTTCACACTATCAGCATTCGAAATAAGGATAATCTCAAGGCAGATTTCGTCCAGGTAAGGTTGCGGTTATGTAGCCATTGAAACAAAGGAACAATTAAGAAACGAAAAAAAAGTATCAGTATAGTGTTTGTCGTCGCTAACACAAGGTTATTGTAGCAACATTTATAGAAGGGTGAAGAGTAAAGGTCAACTTAATTTAAAGCGTGATTGAAGTCATCTTTCCCGCAAAAGTAAGGAAAATATTTTTTTTTTTAAATTTACCGTTTGTCTACTATTTGACGTGTCTATGTGCATTTGTTGTATGTATAAATCACAGAATCATCAAAACGATATATATATACATGGCTTATCATAAGAAAAAAACAAATAACTAGAACTATACATTCCAGTCGCATTTGTCCTGTCGCGCGCGTACCCAACGAAAATTGTTTACAGTCTTTTTTTTTTGTTGCTTTTTTTGTTTTTTTAAATGTGGCACAATGCTTTCTTAATGTCCTCGGGAAAATACATGTTCTGTGAAACACAAAATATAGCGGGAAAAGACGAGAATTTAGCCGCCAGCAGCGTTTGAAACTGCGCCTACGCAGGCTGCGCCTGTTGAAATCACAGTCCACTCGGCTAGGGTTAGGAGGGACGCCGGTGAGAGTCTATCCTCAAACTCAGTGACTGGGCTCGAAAACGGTTTGTTGCTTCTGGGGTCGAGTGTTTTTTGGGAAGGTGTATACAGCTTGGCCCTAATGATAAGCGAACAAACTTGGTCAGGACCGTGTTAATGAATGTAGGCCAAATGCTGCTATGGTTTCAATCGTCTTAATCGGTATTGCGTAGTTTATAAAGCAAAATATATTAAAACTTCGAAAAGTATCAACTATACTTCGCGACAACTTTTCTTGGCAATGCAGTGGAAGGTACGTCCCGCGTCCCCTCTCCCATTTTGAGTGTACGCAGGCTCTCCTCCTCCCCCATTTCCGGGGAGAAGGGGAGAGCTCGCGCACACTCAAAATGGGAGAGGGGACGCGGGACGTACCTTCCACTGCATTGCCAAGAAAAGTTGTCGCGGAGTATAGAGTGTGTAGCTAAAGCCATGACAAGGTTGGGTCACGGTCAAGGTTCTTGCCATCTTTGTCGGCTGGGCTATAGAATGCCTTCTGAGCATGCGCTGTTACTCTGCTGTGCGGTATATCAGACGCTAGGTATACGTCCACAGCTCAGTGACTCAGCATTTTTTGCCCGGGTGATGAGCGATGCAAAAGTGTACAGTTCTGAGTATTAATCGATGGTTACCTGTTGGATCCCACAAGATGAATCCGCAGAAAACGGTGCCTCTTCTCAATGACAACGGAGTAATCTTGGCCGAAAGGTTCGTATTTTCACTTTCATTTCGACGGAACGGCAGTGTGACGTGCTAATTTAAATCGCTGTCTCATTAGCTCACAGCCTGCCGTCGGCGCATTTATTAAAGGAATACTGAAATGTAAAGTCTTTGTAAGTGCATGGTGAAACATAAAATAAAAAAAAAAAAAATAATTTCAACAGAATAATAAAATAGGCCGAAATCGCTGCTGCCGCCATGCTGATTCTCGAAGAATGCGCGAGCATTTCGCGCAGCGGTTATATATAAGAAAGCATGGTGCATGCAGCCTCTCAGCACTTTTTGCCCCCCCCGCGGGGTGAACATTCCCGAAATATTTTCTCTTTTGGCGCAAGCAAATCAGGTCTCTTAGCGTGTGCATGAAGGCAGAAAACGACAGAGCCATTTTGCTGTTGTGCATAGAGAAGCGACGAAACCGTGCGCTTACGGCCCGCTGGCATGGTAAGACCACTGCGCGTCAAGGACGGCGTGACAGGCCGAAGAACGGAGTCGCAGCCCGTGTGCGCACACAGGTCTCCGAAACCGGCGGCAGGAGCTTCCGAGGGCGTCGAAAGCGCTACGCACACCGGCCTCGTGACGTAGTACGTAACACAACCGAGATACAGTGGGCGAGAGCGGGGATAGAGCGTACTTGGGCTGCCGGCGGGGTGCCGAGAGGCTTTCGTGCAGGGGTGGCCCAAGGCGGGTTAATGTTTTGTAATGAGCCATCCGCAGACTGTCGCCGCGAAGCGGTGTTAACGAGGGGGGGGGGGGGGATGCTTGATGACACGCACACCCCAGTGATACACCCGCCGTCCTCCACTGCGCGGCGCCGAAATTGGCGAAGGGGACGTCGCCGGCGATCTTCGGTTGCTATTGTCGGTGACAGGTTAAAGGCTCTACTATACTTCGACCATGGCCTCCGAGATTGCGAAGAGTGCGCGCGAAGGCTTCTCCGGCCCTCCCATTCGAGTCGCTCCCCCAGCAGTACGAGTGTAATCATGACCTCTGAGATCCCGAAGCGCGCGCTTCGGGATCTAGGAGGCTATGCTCTGACGTTTTGTGTGTGTGTGTGTGTGTGTGTAGGCGTTGTATATGGAGATAGGCCGGGAAAGAGAGAGCCAATTGTGTACGCACATGGGGCGCATTTGTCACTCGCTCATGCAGCAAATACAGCGCAGCGCAGAACGCGCGCGCTTCACTTGCCGGCGAGCAGGAGCTCGATATCTGCGACAAATCGGTATCTGTGTGCGCTGCGCTACGCCGTGTTTGGTATGCGCTCGACGTCGGAGTATAACAGAGCCAAATACTTTACCAGGGCAATACGTAATGACATACTGACGGCCGTGCCATAAACCACACCTAGTGGAGTGGTTTATTTGGCGAGGCCTCTGTCTCCCACCACCCTCATATCGCCGCCAGAGCACGTGAAGGCGACGCCGGGGAATGCGGTGCGTTTGTCGGGGTCGCGGACGCGAAGAGGAACCACTGCCGCCTTCACGCGTGTTTCCGCAGATCTTCGTTGTCGCGTTTTTCTATGTATTCTCGGGGAGTGTCCTGCATTCCCCTAGTTATGTATTTAACAGCGCCTTAAAAAGTGCAAGCTCCTCGCACCTCTTTATACTTTAGCAGAGCGAACGCCAGAGAGGAGCTCGCCTTCTCTCCAGCGTTCCCTCTGTTAAAGTGGAAAGAGGTGGGAGGAGCTTCCACTCTACTCTTAACCTGTTACCGACTAAAGGTGTTACGTGGGACTGTGGTGCTATCCCGTGGCGAATTTGCGAACTTTGAATAAGTGTTCTCTAACCAGTCTAAAGTCAGCGCATGTATACTAAAGCAGTAATGCTAGCGCATAAAAAAAAAAAGAAAAGATAACGCAATGTTGACGTTGCAATACCTAATTTAGGTCAGGTCACAACCCGCTCTAGACCCCGCCCACAGAGCGATGACCCCTCCCATTACTACTGGATTGGCTCGGCTGCTCGGCCGAACACGTACACAGCCTCCCTGTCGCGACGTCCGGCGCGTCTAGTCCGCCGTCTGACACCGCCTGGTAGTCGTGCGAGCAGACGCGCGGCAGCATAGCGTATCGTCTCAGGGGCGGATCCAGGTTTTGTTTAAGGGGGGGGTCCAGCAAGGACCCGGGAAAGGGGGGGGGGGGGGGGGGATCGACCCATCATTTGACCGCGGAAGCCGGGCATCACTCCCTGCTCTCTCTCTCTCCCCCCCCCCCCCCCCCCCCTCTCCTCCTACTTCCCTGACCCATTAAATGCTTATTGGCTGGGGAAAGTGCTACAGGCGCCGACACAGATTGACCGCAATTATGTTGTGATAAATTGTAATCTATTTGATATAATTATTTCTGTTTGTTCCGTTTTCGGTCTGAAACCAAAACTCTAAACTGACCCGCTCGCCTCGCCGGCGCCCTGGGCCTTGGAAGGCGCCGCTGCTCCCCTCGCCCAAATTTGAAACTTCGTAACGGCGGACGGCGGTGTCGCGTGGTTTTGTTTACCCAAGGGTCGTGCAAGCGTGCTGGCACGACTCTTGGGTAAGAAATTATAGTTGCGGTCGCGTAAGCTGAGAAACGGACCGTCGTCTTTTTCACTGGTGTCCGAAGAGCTTAGCTGGCTGGCTAAAAAAAAAAAAAAAAGGGGGGGGGGGGGTCCGGACCCCAGGACCCCCCCCCTGGATCCGCCCCTGCGTCTGCTATTGGAACAGACTCTACACTACCGTCTGGAATGCCGGTAAGACGCGCCCGTGGGAGCGCCGCGTGGGCGTCCGCCATTGCAACATCACGGAACTGCCCAGAGACATTGCTGCACCGAGACTTGTGGGCAGGGCTTGAGGCATTTCTTCCCACACCCAGTTCCAGACGCAGGCAAACAAAAATGCAAGAACGCACTGATGAATGGATATCTTATAGCTCATTTACTCTTCGCAATTTATACCGAAATTCAAATTTTAATATTAACTTTCTTTTAAACTTTAAAATAACTTATCAAGTTTGTAGTTAATTAATGATTTGTAGTTTAGTATCAAACGAGTCTTAGAGGTAATATTGCCCCATATAATGTACGCCGAGCCCGACGAACACACAGTAAAGACAGGGTTCATGTAGCCTTCACTGTTTTTCTCTTAATAAATAAAAGAAAACAGCTCGTTCGTTAATCATGTCGATCTTACCCCTTCACGGAGGTAACTTTATTAGGAGCGCACAATTTAGTCATGATCATTTTCATTGAGGCAGCAACTGAGAAGCCTGATATTGTACGTGTTGATTGTTCATGCCTTTTAGAACGCAGCTCTTAGGCGCCCGTTTCCGGCTTGAGCGGCGTCGCCGTCGGCATCGCCGAAACCGTGAGGTCGCGTGACCCCCCTGAGGTCACGTATCCTTTTGTCCTCCTCCTCAAGAGCTGCGCTCTAATCCGGCGTTACGGGACTTGTAAACGGCTTTCATTTTTCTGGTGAAATTCGGTGTTCTTCGAACGCAAAAAGCCACGTGATCGCGGGGAGAGGGGCACCAAGCAAACCGTCGATGCGAGGGAGGGAGTGACAGCACTCCGCTCCCCCATTCTTTGTTACCTTGATCGTCGGCCCTCGCACAACCAGGGCAAAAACTTTCTACTCCACTCATTTGAATTAACAGCGCGACTATATATGACCAAGTCCTTTCCTATTCCCGTGGATAGACCTCGTCCAAGAGAACGCATGCCCATCGCGCTGCCCGAGCTGTCGCGCTTTCGGGCTGCGTCGAGGGAAAGAACTGCTGCGTGCGCACCGAAATACCGGATTTGCCGAGACTATATATAGTGTACTAGAATACGGGGTAGTGCTTGGACCGGCGCGGCTCTGCAATGGGAGCTCGTGATGTTGCGTGCGAGACAACAATCGTGGTGCTGCATTCGTCATGATAGTGGAAAGTGGCTGCAGTCCTCCAAGTTCGGCGAATATTGCATCAGGCGTCCGCAACATATCTCGAGGCGCGCGCGCAATGGGCACGAGATGGAACTATAGGGGGCGCTTTATCGAGCTTGTTGTCCCCATGCACAGCCCGGTGTTTACTGACACAACATAATAAAGAAATCGAACCTCGCCTAACACGGCCTGGGCACGAGCGCTTCGCTTTGACCAGTGCTTCAGTAGCACGAGGAGCGGCCTTCGAATCGTCATCTTCGATTTCTCAGATGAAAGATAAACAAGAAAATACGATTTTTTGTCCCCACAGCTGAAGCGCACCGCTAGAGGCATGACTATTCGATCTCCTCCCCAATAGTAGCAATGCGACACCACGCGCCTCACGCGATCCGCTCCGTTCGCAACACAACCCCGTATTCCGCTTTAGCAAAAGAGCAGAGAGGGCTGGTCTATGCTGCCTCGAAACCCCTCCCAAACTCTGCTCCTAATTCAATGGAGACAACACCGAGGCTGCGCCCAGCCGTTCTAATCACGCAAAAGCTGTTGGCCCCAAGGCCATGAAATTTTTCGCAGAGTAAGATGATATTTCATAGAAGAAAGTTCGACCACGTCAGATCTGCCAAGACGTTACCTCTTGAACCCCCCCCCCCCCCCCCCCCGCCCCCGCATTCGCCGCTCTTGATTCTTAATAAACAATGCAATCGCCAACATTTTTTTAAAGGATTCAATTTATTGTTATTAGACATTGGAGTCACGTGCACCGCGTCACGGATGTTTGCTGATTCTCCGAGACCGCGGGGAGCCGCGGAGAATCTGCAACCGACCTTCAGAATATACAGGGCGGTCCAAACCAACCGCAAAACGGGTGAAGACGGTCACCGGAGAAATCTGGGAGAGAGGAGTGACGCCAAAGGTTACGTGAACGTAACGTTTTGCGGTTGTCGCTTTGCGAGTCCAAAGTTGAATACATTGACCTTTTTCCAATCCCGGAGAGCCCCTCTACTCTCCTGGCCCTCCTCGCAAGCCTTGAGCGGAGGAGGGGGGGATGCGTTTGTTGCTTCTCGGGAATCCTACAAAAGGATAAAGGAAGGCTTAAGAAGCACATATTTGAACAAACCGGAGACGACAATTCTTTCAAATATGTGTAACATCAACCAGCTCGCCTGCTTACTGACTCTTTATTTTAAGAAGCAGTTGCTTTTGTTATATTCTCACCTTGGAAGCCACTCAAAAATCCCACAAAGAGTGGCTTTTCTCCCTCTCTCCCTGTAATGACCGTTTTTCTTTTTCCCGCTCAACCTTCCCGTCTCAGGCGTCCCGGCGCGCTGTCTTTTCACTCCTGCATGCTTCTAGGCTGCAACAACAAGCAAAAGTTATATACAAATTTTTTTCGCCTTTTTACTTTGGTGAAGAAGGAAGACCAGCGAAGTTGTACTATGGTGGAAATGAAGTAATGGCCGGCCGCAAGTCGGCAAGCCAGAGTAAAAGACTGGAATGGTTGCCGCCGTCGTTCATAGATGGCGGAAGCTGTCCAGAGTTCTGTGTCGTCATCTGTTTGCTGACGGACACGATGCTGGGGAAATTAGCCCATAACAGCTCCACTAAAAAAAAAGAAAAAAAGAAAAAAAGGAAATCGAGTTCCGTTTACCTTATTTTTGCGGGCCTGTTCTGCGGCTTGGTTTGGACCGCTTATGTCTTCCTCGCTTTTGGGAAGGATTGCAATGAGGCTCCTTCTTTTCTTTTTCTTTTCCCCTGGCTTTGTTCGATGAGCCCTCGAACGTAGGATTTCCTGAACCGCATTCTCCTTCTCGCGACGTTTCCTTTTTCAACCTTTAGGGGCCCTAAACTCGACAAACACAAAGTTGGAGCCGAAAGTTCGCTGAGCGTGCCTATTGGAAAAAGGTGGAAAAAGCGCGAAGGCATCGTCGTGATAGTCCAATCGGTGCGCTCCGTCAACTTGGGCCCCAACTTTGTGTCTGACGAGTTTAGAGGCTTAGGACGTACTCAGTTTTTTCCAGTGATAAAGATAAATCTGGCGTGCGAATGCACCATGAATTTTCTCCGCGCGTCTAGGAAGTGGTAACCAGAATGGCGTCATTGGCGGGCCGCAGACGACATGCTGCGCAAAGTGGCGGAGGCGGCTTTGCATGGCAGTTCTCCGGCTGCTTAGTGCGGTTGTTTTTGATGTATCTATATACTATAAACGCCTTGTTTCGTCTTACCTTGTCTTAGTCCTTGCTGTTTCAGAGCTTTATACTTTTTAAACTACGAACCTACTATTCCTGGTAACCACTTTGCCATGTACTATATACGTTGCGCATATCCGTGTTTGACTGCATGTGCTTGGCATGTCTTTTTATATAGCCGAGCTATAGGCATGTACCTGGTGAATAAATATGCACCGGGCAGCTCGCTCTACCCTCAAGACGCCGAGAAAAGAGCCATTGTGGATCGCCTAATATTTTTCGAATTTGCGAGTGTGTATGCCTCCGGTGAGAAGATGTTTGTAAGTAAAGCTGAAGTCCTTACACCCAAACCTTGTTGTCTCAAATGCTCGAACAAACTTTCAACGGTGAAAGGATATACATGTGATGTACTATATGATGGTCTTCCTTGTTTGAATAATATCGCGATAAAATTAGCCTCTTTCGAAGTGCTAATAGTTCCTAAACTTATCGTGTATTGTTACATTTTTAGTCTTCTTGCGTTGCGCTAAGAGTTGTAAATTTTGAGTGCATAGGTTAACATAGGTAAATATAAAAACGTCTTATGGTTTTAAATAAGCGCGGCATAATTTTGTCTTTTATAATACATTGCAGGGTGTTTAGCGGTATGCCTGGTTTCCGTAGCAACTTTGTATTCTCAAGCGGATTGAATATATTTATTCTCCAGTGGGAAAAAGTAGGTCGCTCCCCTAAAGCAGCAGTAAATGTATAGTATAGCGGACATTGTTATGCGACTACTGTTTCTTTTTCAGCCACATGTAAATTGGGTAAACAAAAACAAGAGTTATTAAATATGTTTTAATATACTCAACTTCTATATATATACACATTGTTACTAGGTCGTCACATGATCACCTCACAGATTTAAAGGGATACTGAACCGAAATTTCGAGCTCACAAAACAAGGAATGGCGAATAGACGGGATGCTTTGAAACCCAAAACCTTTACTCATACAACGATATCTCTAACGGATCGCCCTATTTTTGGAAAGAAGTGCGCGATTAACTGCTGCTGCTGCTGTTGGGTGGAGTGGCTATTCTTGTTGGGCACCCGGTGTTGCGGTTACAGCAGTCTGTGTACCGTGTACTGCTGAAACTTTGGTGGGAGGGTCAGGGTATCCTACGAAATCCAGGTCCTTGGCAGCTTGATCTTTCTTGGTTGGTGGCGGAACGTACCGGAGGCGATGCCAGGCACGCTCCATGATAGATCCTGCCGCTTTTGCCATTTTTTTACGGTGTGTGGCGCGCGAGCGCCTATGTTCTGTGCGCGACCGTCGCACGCACAGCCCGCACCCTCACAGTACAATCTCACAAAAAAAGGCGGTTGTCGAGTCTTTTGTTTATAACATGCATGCCTACTCATTTCGTGTTTTGCTGATTATTTCAAGCCGCCTCGATCGTTTCGAGGCAAAGCGCGAGACTGCGGTCCCCTGGTGGCGGGTTCGAACCCCGGAAAAAATGCCCGCAATCTGACGGATGATTATTGCAGAAAAGACGCCGTGGTAACCGATGCGCGTCAAGAGATCTCCAGGTGGTCAGAATCAATCCTTAGTTCTTCGCTGGGGTATCAGATGCCGTTGGTTTTGCACGTATAACCCCTGAATTTGATTTGTTTTGATAAGTTCATACAAGATAAACGCTATTACAGATAACCCCCTTAGCTGGATGCTTTGATGAACAGAAATACGAACATCCATTTGCAAATAGAAACGTAGAAAACGTTTCACATGAACTGTGTTTATTTAAAAAAGGCAAGAGTATAAGGTTTGCTTGCTTAACTTGTTGTTTAATGTTTATTAGCATTAAACAATAGTTGCAAAAAAGAATGATACACATTGTGTATGACAGACATTTTCAGCGTCGCTTTTTATGGTTATGATTTTATTCTTAAAGGTGTTTTACTGAGGGCTTTGTCAAATAGAAGGTTCAAGCGTAATTTGAACTTTTTTTTTGCGCAGGGTAGTAATTTGTTGGATTGATTATAATTTGCTTCTGAATTCTGTCCATTTTCATGTTTCTTGTTGCGTTGCCAGAAAGTTTACTGTCTTTTACGTTGAATCCATGTCTAAACTACCACCACTGTCCCGTATGCAAATTTCATTTAATAGAATCGCATCCTCTAGCTAGGACATTTTCACGGATCCCTCAATTTTTCGCCGGGACTTGGAGAGTATAGTTGAAAGTTAAAACTGTACTACATTTTGTGTGAAGTGTGCCCACTATTTGTAGTCATGTTAATTTGTACATTTGACGCTGTACGTGTATTGCATTTCTTTTTATCTTCTTGTGTGCCGCAATGTGAAGACCCGCGAGGTTGTTTTGGGCGCACAAAAAACAATATTATATTAATATGATTATATTATTACAATGTGCGCAATGCCATTTATATGATCAGATAATAATTAAATACGATAAGATATGAATCAATCAATCAATTTTTATTATGCCTCCAATCAGCAGGCAGTAAACACTTTTCTGAGCTTTTCAAAGGAATAGTTCAGATTTTCACGTCAGGGTTATTAAACTTTTCCTATATAAGCTAAATTCTTGTCATTATAGTTACGGATATGCTTAACTAATGACAAGAACGCAGCTGAACAACATTCCTATCCCACGTATATGTTATCAAGATGTTATTTTTGAACAAACATAAAATGAAGCGGACAAACGCGAAGAAACGCGAGCCTGTTCGTATTTAGGAGTACACTGAAAATCTTATAACTCTGAATTAAACGAAGAGCATGCGCACCTGAACCGCAATTGTATGCTTCTAAACAATCTGCAGAAGGCCTACACTAAACTTCGCTACCCATCTAAGGAAGAAAAGGATGATGCGTTGGAAGGAATGAGAACGGTGGTTGAGATGCTGAGAGGAAAGAGATTTCTTGCCGGAGATTCGCTCACCTTGGCGGACCTTGGGTTGTGCACAAGTCTGGAAATGTTTTTCAGGGTAAGTTTGGCGCCTCTCCCATTTGTTTCACATCATTTTTGATTACCAACAACGTAAAAGTTGGGACCAGAGAAAGGGTCGTTATAACAAACGTGATTTATACCCTCATCGATTGAGAAATGACACACTGAAAATGTACTGAAAATGAACCTTGATACACATAACTACTATGAAATGGCTAGATCACAAACATGAATTATTGTTTCTTGTAGCATTTCAAGCCAGTAGATTGGTGCTAATAAACACTGTAATCTTGCTTCTCTGCAGTCTTCTTTTATTTGGTTAAAGCTTCGATGCGGAGAAATAGCCTCCAAGATGAAGTTCCCCTTGGCCACATGCCTTAATGGTGTAAAGGGGTTGATTTCTCTTGTTCAAGCCCGAATGCTTTTTCTTTTTTGAGTATCTCAAGCAATTAAATACAAAAGTTGACTGAAAATAACAGTAGAACAAATCAGTTGCTTTATTATTTGTGTGACGCTAACTGTTCTTTACAATTTGAACGTTTTTTTTTGTAGCTTCAAAACTGTGAACCTACAAGAAATAGATCTTAGGTATTCAACTTGATACATTGTAAAATGCCTGAAGAATCGGCGGAATATTGATATTACTATTATATGACTGAACTGCATTTCAATGGAATTTTGAATATGACTAAAGACAAAAACAAAATGGCATTCTCTTTGGTTACTGTCAAAAAAAAAAGATGTAATGCGCGGACATTTAGGATTTTTTGCACCTCTTCAGACGTCCGTCAAACTCGGACATTTTCGAGTCAATTCTTTATCAGTAAAATGTGCATATATTTACACAAAATCAAGTTCTCCCGCTAAATTAAATTGATATACCGCAGATCGAACAAGGATACACGTTTTAATTTTATATTGGGCAGGCAAACGCTTCACACCACATTTAGTGAAAAACTTGAATGTTGGTCCGTTATTTATGATACATCAATTTAGGTTTAGGTATCAAGCCGCGGCGGACGATAGCATAGAATCTCACGATTTTGTGGCCCTCGAACTAGTATCATTTGTAACAATTGTCTGGACAAACTTATACACACTGTATTAAATTTTTATGGTAGTTGGATATTAAAAACCAGCGATCCGGGAAGCCAGAGTGCTACGAACCCGTGTCTTGCTCGGTACTTTAGTTCCTGTCAGTGTGGTGAAAGCTCTTATACATATGCTGTTTTATGCGATATTCTTTAAAGCGAATGTGCTAAATGTGTAAGCATCAATAGTCAAAAATTCAATGTAGTTTATGGTGTCCCCTGTCTTAATTTTTTTTTTTACGGTCTAATCGGTATTTTTGTTTGGAAGAGTCTTAATTAATGACGTAGTTCCCTGGAGTTACTTCATGAAATTTGTAGAAAAAACCAAGTTGTGATTACTTATTTTTTTTTTTTTTTTGCTTTTTATTGCAGCAAGACATTTCATCCGGCTTCAAGGACTTGGAACAACTCCGAGAATATTACGAGCGAGTAAACGCTGGAATGCCCGAAATACAGGATATTCTTTCGAAAACGATGGATGAACTCTGCGATGTGATATGTCGGTGCAAGCGTATAATTGAGATTGCCTCTTCAAAACCTGAACAGCCCCAAAGTGAGGTTGCTAATAATGACAAACAAAGGTATCACAACGTAAAATGATTCCGCCCAGATAATTTTCCGAGCGGAACAAGGCTCATAATTTCTCAATATTTACGGATATTTAGAAAGGCGAGTTTTTCTTTGTATATGCTTAAGACCGTAGTTGCTGAAGATATGTCTCTAATTGCTGAAGATATGTCTAATTTCGCTTTATCAAGCTTTGCTTGATGAAGCGAAATGATCAGGAGTTCGTGGTTTCCTGAGAATTGTCAGAAGTAAAATGAATAAACAAATAAAATAAAAATAAAAAGTTTCAGAATAATCGTGCGTGTTAGTCTCGTTTCTATTATGGGTGATAGATGAGATCAGTTTAAAACTCGAGTGAGCCAAGGAGCTGCCTCGTTTCGTCAACTATATATTTGTTTTTACGTCAAGAAACAAGCCAGTTTTTCGCGATTTTCGCATGCGCCGCGCGAAGTAGATCTTACAAGATTTGGTTGTCGAAAGAAGAAGCGGTGCTTGTGGCCTTTGAAACGTGTATACGTCTTGGTAAAATAACAAACAGAAAGCACGAGCCGTGTTTTTCGGCTCGTGTAAGAAATCTATTCATCGCTAGGGTGACCAGACGTCCCGTTTCGGCCGGGATAGTTCCGTTTGTGAAGTCCACTTCTGCCGTTCTGTCTTTTTGTCCTAATAAGAAATTATGTCCAGTTTTCGCAAGAGCGCATAGATTTGAAATTCATACTAAGCGAGTTAAAGCAAACCGAAACTCGCTTTGAAATGAAACGAGTGGATGCAACTGAACTGTGAGTGTAACTGTTCCCTAGCCTAGGGCTAAGTGCATTATGGTAACGTTTTGAAATAAGAGCGGTTAATTCATCAACCCCCCTCCCCCCCCCCCCCCCCTTTCCACTGAATGTCCCGTTTTCTACCTTGAGGAATATGGTCACCCTATGCATCGCAGAAAGCTCAAACTCAGTGGGAATGTGACGCTATTGGTTGGGAAAGAACACGACAGTTTGAGAGCATGACGTTAGCTTGATCAAAATAAAACCTAAACAAAAACACGAAATTTCTTTATGAGCCGACGTCCACCTAAACCTAATGTCGTAAAAACAAGAGATGACATTGTTTTTACAATGTCATCTCTTGTAGCACTTAATTGTAGTGATGGGCCGAATCTTCCGAACTTCAGGTTCGGCAAAGTTTGGCACATGCCGAACTTTTGAAGAAAAGCTCGGCAAATATTCGGCGAAAATTTGGCAAACGTCTGCGCACGTGCGAGAGCGCGACGGGGCCATGGATTACAAACAGACGTTGTGCGGTCCTGCGGTTTCAATGATACTGTGTAGTTTCCATGGTACTGTGTGTACTGACAGGTACTTTAAAGCATTCCTCGCAATTATAGCAGTCCTGTTTTCGGCTCAGAAACCAGCTCGTGCAAAGAAAAAAAAAGAAGATTATTTTTGTTTAATTTGTGTTATTTCGCTGTTTACATCTCTCCGCATAAAGCTAAACACAGAGCTATCATGCTCCACGTTGCACATCCGATATGCCTTACTCTTCCCATCTTCGGAAATGTCCGCGTGTGTCCTCACCAGAGTGTCGAACCGGAAGCGAACCGCACCGAAAACCGGAACCGCACCGTTATTCTTAGCAGAATCGGAACTGAACGGAACCGAAATCTTTGAAACCGTCTTGGAACTAAACCGGAACTGATCCGAAAAAAAAAAATTACGGTAACCGGTTCAAAAGGGCTCATGGTAATTTTTTTTAAATTTCTTTTGTTACAAAATGAGCATTTGAGAAGTAAAAGTTGGCAGCTCTATTTCTATGTAGTGATCAAATTGTCATCTGCCGATTTGCAATGTATTAGAAATTGTAGGTTTTCGTGGCGCCTTTGTATTGGCACTACGATTAATCATGTGTCACGTGGTCACGTGACGACGTGGTGCCCAGACATGTTGTCAAGTAGTGTCACGTCACATGGCCCCGTGACGTAGTCGCGTGACTCACCGCGTCGACTTAAATTGAGAATGTCACTAGATGTATTAGCGTCGTTGACAGCGTGACGTCACATACCATCACTACTTCTCCTCGCGACTCACGTGGCACTGTGACGTACTCGATTCTCATGAGCCCGAGTGCTCGGGTTCTTGAAAATCAGCGACGCCAAACATTGGTGCTGGCTCGTGTTCAATCAAAGATGAGAATAGCCGAAACCTAACGATGCCTAAGGCTCAACCCACGCTCTGTTATTTGCCAACCGCATCGCATGACTGTGATGAACACGGACGGTATACTATAATTAGCGTCAGATCACGTAGCCTCTGGTTCTAGTAGCGAGTTGAGGGGGAACAACTGTTTCTTTCCTCTATTTTTTCGAAGTCCGCCACTGAGAGGAGAGGAAACCTAATGGGTGATTTTGCAAGGTATCAACGTCAGGAATCATCTCTTAGCGGTATTTACTGTAAGTACAAAAAAATGTTCCACGAACCATTTTACATGCACACACCATTGAGACACCCAAGCTTGTTTTTGTTGTTGCTGAACTGTCTCAGAAAGTGGTCTCCGAGAATAGAAGAATTAAAGGGCTAAATATTGATTATTATTCAGACGATAAACAGAACTACAAGCGTGTACGGCATATCCGAAACGAAAGATTCTAGTGGCCTCAGAGGAATAGCCGAACGTTGGCAGCCGCTCAAATTCTCTAAGTTCTGTTTGAACTTTACAGTTTTTGAGTGAAAAATTCAAGAAATGGAGAATTACTTTTTACTCTTACACATTACTCTTACACATTACACGAATATAATTGTCGAATTGTCACCCCCAAACGAAAGATGGAGTCCCTCAAAATTTAAAAAGAAGTATTCTCTGGAGGAGCATCGTAAAAAGAAAAAAAAAAAAAGGCGGAGGGGAGGGGTAGGGGGATTTAAGGCATACTGTGGTGTACAGGTTCCTCTGCTCCACATCTTCGGCACAGACGCGACAGCGTGACCCCGAAAAACTACTTTTGCAAAAACACTCCTGCCAGAAAGCGCGTTTTTGTGGTGCCAGACGTTCGCGCCGTTACTCACGACGCTGCACCAAGCAAGAATAATTCTTGTTTCTGAATACATGGGTTGCACTGGAGCCACTAAATAAGCTAGGCCTCAGAATAACGACGCTTGGCCATATTGTGGCTTAAAATCATGGTTTCCAGTTATCTGAAGCTTCATCTGAAATGAAATTACAGGAAACTTTTTTTTTTGTCCTCCACAAGTGTTTAAACAGTTCGCGACAAAGCAAAGCAATATTACATGAGCTTCCTAATACCAAATCTAATGCTGAGGAAGTCGCACTTTTTAATCATGATCATTGACAGTTGCGTCTGCTCTGCACAAGCCCCAAAATGGCGGCCCCCACACCAATATCGGGGAACGGAGTGCCGATACTCCAAGCGCAGCTTATTTAGTGACTCTAGGTTGCAATGAGGGCGAATCTTCTGCAAAGTGAATTTTTCATCACGGGATTGGATTTTCTAAGCAAAAAGAAATCTCAATGACCACTAGCATATAGCACGATAATGTCACTAGCAAACCATGTTAAACAGTTCAGTTTTCTGGTGAAATGTGATGTTCTTACATGAAGTGAAAAGTGAAACGCTTCGTTTCACTTTAAGCGTGAGCGTATAACAGAACCTACGAGAACAAGCTCCGGGCTTTCAGCGTCTTTGTCAAGCACGCGCGCTCGTGCAGTCAAGCACTGTTCAGCACCACATGCTCGCGCTGGTAGCATCGGCTGCATCTGGACAGGCCCTGTAAAGCGTTTCTGGTCATTTCTTTTTAATTTGCACCGCGTTCGCTCGAACTTGTGAGCGGGACCCTAGCAACACATAAAACATAAAATAAACAAGAAATCAGATGTATTTTGAACCTAATAAGTGAAAGAAGTTCAGAATTTTGAGAACATTTTCTTTTGTTGATGACGTCCTTGGTATGAACCAACAGAGAACTGAAACGACAAGAGCGTGCAACAACCATGCGCTATCTTCCTAAGTGTTGGATTTTAACATCTATTAATGAAGATTTGAACGCCCAACCAAGTTACGTGTGTTTCAAACAAACATTTGGGTGAGAGTCAAGTGCTTCAAAGGATGTCATCATTATCCGACGCTCTATAAACAAACGTCGTAACTGAGCGCTTGTGTTTGACGCTGATAGGCAAGACTTTAGGAGCAGCGTTTAGTTTTCTTCGTCCCTTTGTAGTGTCCTTTTAACCTGAAACAAAGTATAGCAGAAGGGGATGTCCAAATTGTAAAGTTTTGCAGTATATATATGAGTCTTGCGATAATATACGGTAGCCGAATAAAATGCTAGAGCACGCATGACTGATAAAAAAACAGATGTAAAATGAGGCCCGAAAACAAGTGCACGTGAAACCGAATATAACGTTAGCCTCCCGAAGCAGTCTTCTGCGAAGTTTGGAACTCGTGCAAGCTAAAGTCTCTGGATACTTCTTTTACATATAACGACAACCAATACAAATGACAAAGCACATCCCGCTGGAACAAAATGGCGGCATTAAGTTCAAACCGCTGCTGTGCGGCGCCATTCGCTTCCTAAACCTGCACCGTCACGCAGCCGGCGCTTCAAAGAATATCGCTACCTCTAGGAAACTCTTATCTAGGGACTTTAGTGGAAGCCGATGTCCAAATGTGATTTAAATTAGAAATACATTGCCTGTTCTTTGCGCTATTAATGTGTAATTAGGAACATCATTGCACGTACCTCTATTAGAGAAATACGGACCATAACCTACCAAGTCCTAAACAGTTAGAAAACCGACGTTTCAAAACCGATGCGTTTTTTTTTTTTTTTTTTTTTTCAGGGGCGACTATTTGCACGTAGATAGCAGTAGCTTCTTTCCTATTTACAATGTGTCGTTTGCGTCACCCACATTTTCTACTTCAAGTGCCCTAGTCCGTTGACATACGCCGATGCTTAAGTGCCCGTCGACCTATTGAGCCCGACCTATTGAAACGTCAGGCTCTTAACTGTTTACGACTTGGTTTGTGAAGCTCTGTATTTCTCAATTTTCTGAACCAACCAGACGTAATTCTGTCAATCGTGTTTTCGCTTAAAACATACATCTCTATATATTTATTTTTGCAGTAAGGTGTCCTGTATTGGATTTTAAAAGAATACCATTTATTATCCTTTTTTCTTCATATTTCGGGTATTTGCCTTCAGATCTATAATGCGGGCACAAAGTCCTTTTTGGGCATACCCCTCAACCCGGTGTTTCACACTGCCAAACACCGAACATAAGAACACGTTCCCGCAGACTCAACAGAGGGCGTATTTTTGAGTATCGTCCTCCCGTTTCGGTATCAAGCGGCTATGTGAATTTCGCACATTCAAATTTTTTTTATGACAATGAAAAATATATTTTATTACTACCTGAAGACTTCACGACATAAATAAAGGGCCGATCACGCTACAGATATACATCATAAGTAACCATGTTGAATATACCTGAGACTGGGGTAGAAAAACATAAAAGTCGAAGAAACAGAACGGGACAGGACGACGTCTCAAACTCAGCTACCAGGTTTATTCAGTCCTCCTCCTTATATAGTCCACGAACAGCCCACCACCAACACAAAGGGGCAACTCTAACCAGTTCAACCGCCAAACCCTCCAGACAGTCACTACCAACACAAAGGGACAACCTCTAAACAGTCCAAACGCCAAACCCTGTAATTCCAAACTAGCGCTATGGACGGCCTTCATGCCGATTCACAAAGATAATTCAGCAATCTCCCCCAAAATATAACAAAAGGACCATTACCTCTTCCAAAGTAACAAGGATCCACAAACACATACAAAAAAAAAAAAAAAAAAAAAAAAAAAACTTTTTTTTTTTTTTACTTAAATTGTTTTCCTTTCCTCCTCGACGAAAGGATGACACGCACTTAACGTAAAACGGTGCAAAGTTGAACAGTACAGCTTTCCCTCTGTCCACCCCAAAAACAAAAAAGAAAAAGAAAGAAAGAAAAAAAAAAAATATATATATATATACACATATATATATATACATAAATATAACTATATTTTTAAAAAACTTTTGGAATTTTTACCGAACTGTAGCGACGCCTGGCTTATGCAATTACCTAAAGACTTTATTCGCACCGTCTCCCTTACTAGCCTTTTTGTATCATTCCTCTCCTTGTGAATGATTTCTGTCTCCGACCAAATAGCAGTGCAGTTGTTACATTCGTTGACATGTTTTGCGATTTCTGAGTTCGGTGCATTGTTCTTCACGTTTCTTTTGTGTTCACTTAATCTGTCGTTAATGCATCGTGATGTTTGTCCTACATACTTAAACCCGCATTCCAGTGGTATCTCATACACCACACCATTCTCGCAATCTACCGATTTTTCTCGATGGTTCTTTCTGCAATTGTTCGCACCTGTCTGAAATGGCGTCAATCTACTAAGTTTAAAATCTGAGCTGAAGACCGTGTCTACTCCAAACTTTTTCGCACAAGCCTTCAAGTTGTGCGAAATTTCATGAAAATAGGGGATCACGGCGAATCCAGTCCTTTTACCCTGTTCCTTTTCTCTCCTTCCTTTAATAACTATTTCTAACTGCCGTTTGATAAAACTGTCTTTATACCCTACATTGATCAACCTTTTGCATTGTCTTTTAACCGAATCCGTGATGAAATGAACACACGATCTGTCCAGCGCGTTTCTGACCAACGACTTTACAACCCCAGCTTTTACGGTCTTGGAATGACAGCTAATCCTTGGCAACACCGGTTTAGAACTTTCTTTTCCGTATTCCCAACATACCCCTTGATTTACATGTATACGTAAGTCCAGGAACTCTAGGACCCCTCTTTCTGGTTTTTCCGTAGTAAACGTCAATTCCGGAGCCGCTGACCTTATCTCGCGTTCCAGACTGCCCGTTAGATCATTTGTTACCGTGCAAATTATGATGTCGTCTACATATCTTCTTACTAACGCCATACCAGGGGACTTCTCCTTTAGTCTGTTATGCACTACTCGATCCAAGGAGTTTAAGTACACTTCCGCCAAAATCGGTGCGACCGACGAACCTATACAAACCCCGTCTTTTTGAACATACTTCCTTCCTTCGTACTCGATTACCGTCGACTTCAGGTAAACCTCAAGGATCGTTAGGAAACTCTCTACGCATATACCTGAACCTGCTTGGAACTTTACGAGATTCAACTCCAATGCCTCTCTCACTCTCTGCATCAACCGAGTCTTTTCTAGCGAGTAATAAAGGTCCTTAATATCCATGGACACAACAGAACATTGCTGTCCATGAAATTTTTCCAACATGTCAATCAGTTCATTTGAATTTTTTAGAGACAAAGAATTATCTAGGCATGCATACATCAACCCTCGCTGGAGAAACTTTGAAACTACTTTCTGCCAGGTTCCGTTCTCGTTGATGACCGCACGAAGAGGCATTTCAGGCTTATGGTCCTTGAGAAAGAACTTGATACTTAATGTCGATTTTGTAGCACTCGTGATACTTTTTGCTACATTCTTAAAGTCGTCTTCATTCAGGATTGCACAAATGTTCCCTCTCAACTTTCCTACATTGCCCGCCCACTCAGAAAACAAAGATTCCATTGCAACTTCTGTTTTTTTCTTGAATACTGCCATTGGCAAGACGGCAAACTTTCCAGACTTATCCGTTTCCAATAGTTTTAGGGACTTCGTTTCTAACTCCTTCTTAACCGCGTTAACTTCTCTGAAATTTCTTTTGTCCTTCGGGTACGCCTCTCCCATGACTTTCTCCATCCTACTAATAGCGTGATCTATAAAAGCGACCTTTTCTTCCGGGACGACCTTTCTGGCCACAGTGTGAATGGTAGACAACACGTCAAGTCTCGAGGGTTTTACATCTAAACAACACTTCGGTCCCTTAGCTAACACGTCCTCCGTCTCGCGTGTTAACGCTTCCCCACATGGATTGATAGGAGACTGTCGAGACTTAGGCCATGCATCAATCCCAAACCACGTTTTTTGCGGCCCATTATTAACAATTTTTGAGTTTTTTAGACTGTCCAAAACATGTCTGCGCTTCACATACCATAGTCGGTCGAACAGGGTTATTTTGCTGCTGGTCCATTGATGGTACTCCCGGTGGTACTTGAAATCATCTCCCAGGAGAAGAGTCCAAAGTCTGTCGCAGGCTCCTTTGATGTCCTGGATCCTTATGCTGGCTCCGTCCCGGTAGGCCTTGATGATCTTTTTCTTGGCGTACCAAGGAACACTGGTTGACGACAGATGCTTGAAGTTTTCCGGGTCCACGAACTTTTTTCGAAGACAGATGCCGAAGAATGCCACATCCGCTTCCAGCTCGGCCAAACGACGGCCCAGCTTGTCCAAAACCGTAATAGCTTGGAGGATTAACGTGTTGGGTGGAGGTGCGAATGTTGAACCATAAGAAAAGGCGACTAAGCCTGCCTCTGGGATGATCAGAGATACAATAGTAAGGGTGCAGGCGAGCTGGTGGATGTTAACCATGTTGAATATACCTGAGACTGGGGTAGAAAAACATAAAAGTCGAAGAAACAGAACGGGACAGGACGACGTCTCAAACTCAGCTACCAGGTTTATTCAGTCCTCCTCCTTATATAGTCCACGAACAGCCCACCACCAACACAAAGGGGCAACTCTAACCAGTTCAACCGCCAAACCCTCCAGACAGTCACTACCAACACAAAGGGACAACCTCTAAACAGTCCAAACGCCAAACCCTGTAATTCCAAACTAGCGCTATGGACGGCCTTCATGCCGATTCACAAAGATAATTCAGCAATCTCCCCCAAAATATAACAAAAGGACCATTACCTCTTCCAAAGTAACAAGGATCCACAAACACATACAAAAAAAAAAAAAAAAAAAAAAAACTTTTTTTTTTTTTTTTTTTTTACTTAAATTGTTTTCCTTTCCTCCTCGACGAAAGGATGACACGCACTTAACGTAAAACGGTGCAAAGTTGAACAGTACAGCTTTCCCTCTGTCCACCCCAAAAACAAAAAAGAAAAAGAAAGAAAGAAAAAAAAAATATATATATATATATATATATAAACTCAAAAATTGTTAATAATGGGCCGCAAAAAACGTGGTTTGGGATTGATGCATGGCCTAAGTCTCGACAGTCTCCTATCAATCCATGTGGGGAAGCGTTAACACGCGAGACGGAGGACGTGTTAGCTAAGGGACCGAAGTGTTGTTTAGATGTAAAACCCTCGAGACTTGACGTGTTGTCTACCATTCACACTGTGGCCAGAAAGGTCGTCCCGGAAGAAAAGGTCGCTTTTATAGATCACGCTATTAGTAGGATGGAGAAAGTCATGGGAGAGGCGTACCCGAAGGACAAAAGAAATTTCAGAGAAGTTAACGCGGTTAAGAAGGAGTTAGAAACGAAGTCCCTAAAACTATTGGAAACGGATAAGTCTGGAAAGTTTGCCGTCTTGCCAATGGCAGTATTCAAGAAAAAAAACAGAAGTTGCAATGGAATCTTTGTTTTCTGAGTGGGCGGGCAATGTAGGAAAGTTGAGAGGGAACATTTGTGCAATCCTGAATGAAGACGACTTTAAGAATGTAGCAAAAAGTATCACGAGTGCTACAAAATCGACATTAAGTATCAAGTTCTTTCTCAAGGACCATAAGCCTGAAATGCCTCTTCGTGCGGTCATCAACGAGAACGGAACCTGGCAGAAAGTAGTTTCAAAGTTTCTCCAGCGAGGGTTGATGTATGCATGCCTAGATAATTCTTTGTCTCTAAAAAATTCAAATGAACTGATTGACATGTTGGAAAAATTTCATGGACAGCAATGTTCTGTTGTGTCCATGGATATTAAGGACCTTTATTACTCGCTAGAAAAGACTCGGTTGATGCAGAGAGTGAGAGAGGCATTGGAGTTGAATCTCGTAAAGTTCCAAGCAGGTTCAGGTATATGCGTAGAGAGTTTCCTAACGATCCTTGAGGTTTACCTGAAGTCGACGGTAATCGAGTACGAAGGAAGGAAGTATGTTCAAAAAGACGGGGTTTGTATAGGTTCGTCGGTCGCACCGATTTTGGCGGAAGTGTACTTAAACTCCTTGGATCGAGTAGTGCATAACAGACTAAAGGAGAAGTCCCCTGGTATGGCGTTAGTAAGAAGATATGTAGACGACATCATAATTTGCACGGTAACAAATGATCTAACGGGCAGTCTGGAACGCGAGATAAGGTCAGCGGCTCCGGAATTGACGTTTACTACGGAAAAACCAGAAAGAGGGGTCCTAGAGTTCCTGGACTTACGTATACATGTAAATCAAGGGGTATGTTGGGAATACGGAAAAGAAAGTTCTAAACCGGTGTTGCCAAGGATTAGCTGTCATTCCAAGACCGTAAAAGCTGGGGTTGTAAAGTCGTTGGTCAGAAACGCGCTGGACAGATCGTGTGTTCATTTCATCACGGATTCGGTTAAAAGACAATGCAAAAGGTTGATCAATGTAGGGTATAAAGACAGTTTTATCAAACGGCAGTTAGAAATAGTTATTAAAGGAAGGAGAGAAAAGGAACAGGGTAAAAGGACTGGATTCGCCGTGATCCCCTATTTTCATGAAATTTCGCACAACTTGAAGGCTTGTGCGAAAAAGTTTGGAGTAGACACGGTCTTCAGCTCAGATTTTAAACTTAGTAGATTGACGCCATTTCAGACAGGTGCGAACAATTGCAGAAAGAACCATCGAGAAAAATCGGTAGATTGCGAGAATGGTGTGGTGTATGAGATACCACTGGAATGCGGGTTTAAGTATGTAGGACAAACATCACGATGCATCAACGACAGATTAAGTGAACACAAAAGAAACGTGAAGAACAATGCACCGAACTCAGAAATCGCAAAACATGTCAACGAATGTAACAACTGCACTGCTATTTGGTCGGAGACAGAAATCATTCACAAGGAGAGGAATGATACAAAAAGGCTAGTAAGGGAGACGGTGCGAATAAAGTCTTTAGGTAATTGCATAAGCCAGGCGTCGCTACAGTTCGGTAAAAATTCCAAAAGTTTTTTAAAAATATAGTTATATTTATGTATATATATATATGTGTATATATATATATATTTTTTTTTTCTTTCTTTCTTTTTCTTTTTTGTTTTTGGGGTGGACAGAGGGAAAGCTGTACTGTTCAACTTTGCACCGTTTTACGTTAAGTGCGTGTCATCCTTTCGTCGAGGAGGAAAGGAAAACAATTTAAGTAAAAAAAAAAAAAAAAAAAAAAAAGTTTTTTTTTTTTTTTTTTTTTTTGTATGTGTTTGTGGGTCCTTGTTACTTTGGAAGAGGTAATGGTCCTTTTGTTATATTTTGGGGGAGATTGCTGAATTATCTTTGTGAATCGGCATGAAGGCCGTCCATAGCGCTAGTTTGGAATTACAGGGTTTGGCGTTTGGACTGTTTAGAGGTTGTCCCTTTGTGTTGGTAGTGACTGTCTGGAGGGTTTGGCGGTTGAACTGGTTAGAGTTGCCCCTTTGTGTTGGTGGTGGGCTGTTCGTGGACTATATAAGGAGGAGGACTGAATAAACCTGGTAGCTGAGTTTGAGACGTCGTCCTGTCCCGTTCTGTTTCTTCGACTTTTATGTTTTTCTACCCCAGTCTCAGGTATATTCAACATGGTTAACATCCACCAGCTCGCCTGCACCCTTACTATTGTATCTCTGATCATCCCAGAGGCAGGCTTAGTCGCCTTTTCTTATGGTTCAACATTCGCACCTCCACCCAACACGTTAATCCTCCAAGCTATTACGGTTTTGGACAAGCTGGGCCGTCGTTTGGCCGAGCTGGAAGCGGATGTGGCATTCTTCGGCATCTGTCTTCGAAAAAAGTTCGTGGACCCGGAAAACTTCAAGCATCTGTCGTCAACCAGTGTTCCTTGGTACGCCAAGAAAAAGATCATCAAGGCCTACCGGGACGGAGCCAGCATAAGGATCCAGGACATCAAAGGAGCCTGCGACAGACTTTGGACTCTTCTCCTGGGAGATGATTTCAAGTACCACCGGGAGTACCATCAATGGACCAGCAGCAAAATAACCCTGTTCGACCGACTATGGTATGTGAAGCGCAGACATGTTTTGGACAGTCTAAAAAACTCAAAAATTGTTAATAATGGGCCGCAAAAAACGTGGTTTGGGATTGATGCATGGCCTAAGTCTCGACAGTCTCCTATCAATCCATGTGGGGAAGCGTTAACACGCGAGACGGAGGACGTGTTAGCTAAGGGACCGAAGTGTTGTTTAGATGTAAAACCCTCGAGACTTGACGTGTTGTCTACCATTCACACTGTGGCCAGAAAGGTCGTCCCGGAAGAAAAGGTCGCTTTTATAGATCACGCTATTAGTAGGATGGAGAAAGTCATGGGAGAGGCGTACCCGAAGGACAAAAGAAATTTCAGAGAAGTTAACGCGGTTAAGAAGGAGTTAGAAACGAAGTCCCTAAAACTATTGGAAACGGATAAGTCTGGAAAGTTTGCCGTCTTGCCAATGGCAGTATTCAAGAAAAAAACAGAAGTTGCAATGGAATCTTTGTTTTCTGAGTGGGCGGGCAATGTAGGAAAGTTGAGAGGGAACATTTGTGCAATCCTGAATGAAGACGACTTTAAGAATGTAGCAAAAAGTATCACGAGTGCTACAAAATCGACATTAAGTATCAAGTTCTTTCTCAAGGACCATAAGCCTGAAATGCCTCTTCGTGCGGTCATCAACGAGAACGGAACCTGGCAGAAAGTAGTTTCAAAGTTTCTCCAGCGAGGGTTGATGTATGCATGCCTAGATAATTCTTTGTCTCTAAAAAATTCAAATGAACTGATTGACATGTTGGAAAAATTTCATGGACAGCAATGTTCTGTTGTGTCCATGGATATTAAGGACCTTTATTACTCGCTAGAAAAGACTCGGTTGATGCAGAGAGTGAGAGAGGCATTGGAGTTGAATCTCGTAAAGTTCCAAGCAGGTTCAGGTATATGCGTAGAGAGTTTCCTAACGATCCTTGAGGTTTACCTGAAGTCGACGGTAATCGAGTACGAAGGAAGGAAGTATGTTCAAAAAGACGGGGTTTGTATAGGTTCGTCGGTCGCACCGATTTTGGCGGAAGTGTACTTAAACTCCTTGGATCGAGTAGTGCATAACAGACTAAAGGAGAAGTCCCCTGGTATGGCGTTAGTAAGAAGATATGTAGACGACATCATAATTTGCACGGTAACAAATGATCTAACGGGCAGTCTGGAACGCGAGATAAGGTCAGCGGCTCCGGAATTGACGTTTACTACGGAAAAACCAGAAAGAGGGGTCCTAGAGTTCCTGGACTTACGTATACATGTAAATCAAGGGGTATGTTGGGAATACGGAAAAGAAAGTTCTAAACCGGTGTTGCCAAGGATTAGCTGTCATTCCAAGACCGTAAAAGCTGGGGTTGTAAAGTCGTTGGTCAGAAACGCGCTGGACAGATCGTGTGTTCATTTCATCACGGATTCGGTTAAAAGAC